TTCCCGGTAGAAAAGCGCGGGGCACTGACCTCTCCCTTCTTCTCTGTTCCCCTTCCCGTTTAACCCCCCTGAAGTGGGGGGCACCCCCTCCGCAATGTCCGCCCGCCCGTCGGGGAAGCCAGGGGGTGGGAGAGGGTGCCCAGCAGCTCCTCCCGGCCTCACAAAAGCGCGCAAGGAGAGCGCAAAGGCCGCGCAAGGGGCAAATTCGCTCCCAGCTCGATAGTTTTCTTCCCCGCTGTCCCCTGCGCACCTCTCCGGCTAACGTGCCTGCAGAATTTCTTCGTATATCGACATCCCCGCCAAGTCCTGCCACCACCACCCCCCGCCGGCCCCTCCTTGCCGGCCCGGGGTGTGAGCCGATGGGAGGGCCGAGCAGCAATTCATCTTGATTTGTTTCAATTGTCCGGAGATGGCGAAGTTATAATCCTGTATAATTTCAGGAACAAGCAGGTTGAGAATGAATGGGTCGATATTATTTAAAACAAAACACACGAGAGCACGACCTTTCCCTTCAACTACGTGTTGCAGCACGAAGTCGCAGGAAACTCGGGGCTAACCTCTCAACCCCCGCGCTCCGCGGGGTTGCTGTTATTTGGGCTGCTCTTTGTTTCTCTTCACGTCTGAAAGGGGGATTGGAATTAGAAACGTAATATTACATGAAGGATCTCCCGGCTGAAGGGAGAAGGTGAGCGCAAGAGAAGGGAAAGGGAACAGATTATTTTGAACAGGAGCGGCTTGTTTGCAAACTAGCTATTCTTTTTCTTTTTCTTCTCTCCCCCCCCGCCCCCCCAAGTTTCCTTTCACAGCGGGAGAAATTTATGCTTGAGATACAGCAATTTTGTGGCTGGTAATTCTCGAGGCCAGCGATGTCAACCATTTTCTCGGGGCTGCGCGGGGGAATAAAGGGACTCTGCTGCACGGGAGGTATGTATGTGCCCCGCGTTTCTCTAGCACGCAACTGCACCGCAAGGAAAAATATTTTTTGTACGTGAAAAACAAACAAACAAACAAATATGCCCGCAATTATTTGTATTGCAATAAAAAGTCCTGCCCTGTGTTTCCAGAGAACGAGGTCCAGTATCAGCGATCAGTCAATCACTGCAGACCAGTTACCGCTGGGCAGCTTGGCTCAGTAAATAAAAATACAGACAAAACTGTATGCTGTATATTTTACTCCCATGAAATAAAACACAACTTTTTTTTTTACTTTTTTTTTTCATGTTTGCTGAAAAGTAAAACAATGATATTGTACGAAATGTTATACACAGGGCATGTTTTACATTGCAATATCAGAAACATCATTGCATCCACCAGAGGTACTATTCTAAAACTGATATTCACACAATTATTTTTTTTTTAATAATTATATGTTAGAAACATACAGTGTTGCTTTTAGTATATACATTCCCTTGCTCGCAAGCGAAAAAATCCTAATCGCTTCTGTGTAACATGCTTTATTTTAAAGCCTAACCTTTTAAAAACACTGTTGTGATATTACTAACAACTGCTTTTATAAAATTAATTTGACATTTCGATATATATACATCCTTTCAGTCATTTTTATGTTAACAATGCTAAACTTAAAAAATAACAAGCTTATAGTAACATTAAAATGTCATATCATATCCAGTCAAACATTTGTCCATATATATATATATATATATGTCCTTGTAACTGTCGAAATACTCTTAGTGAAAGAAAGATCTCAGAATCTGTAGGAGGTCCTTTGAAAACAAAGGAACTATCTTATTTCAGTGGTTTCCTCTTTTTTCTTTTTTTTTTTCCCTCTCTCTCGTTCTCTTTTCCTCTCTGTCTCTGATTTTTCCTCCTTTCTCTTTCTCTCTAGTGCCCATTACTTCCTAGTGTAATTCTCAGTCTCTGCGGGAAATGGGGAGGGATCCCCATGCAGTGTTTCCTACTTGTGTGTCTCACACGGGTCTGTCCACCGCATACTGGCAAGCACTCAGGTTGGAAGCGGGGTTCTGCACACTGGCATAGCCAAAACTGGAGTGCTGCTTGGCTTTAAGTCTCAGACTCGCCAAGCTCGAGTTACATGTGTCCCTATAAACATACGGAGGTGTTGGAGGAGCATAAGGACAGGCTGGCGTTGGCACTGCAGAATTTAGGGAGGGATTGCTCAAGTTGTTCAAGTTATTCAGGCTGTTGAGGCTGGAGCCGGGGACCCCGGTGACTGCAGAGGGTACCATGCTTGAAGACATACTCATGGAAGAAATGGAGTTTGGAGGGGAGAACATGCTCTGAGAAGACAGAGGGTTGACATTCATGGAGTTGAAGAAAGGGAAGCTTTTGGTGGAGAGGGAAGCGGAGGTCAGGCCCTTGGCTGCCCAATTGTTGTACGAGTAGCCGGGGTACATGTCATCGTAGGGCTGCATGAGGCCATTAAACTGTGGACCGAAACCATTTTTGCAAAGCTCGGCTTGCTGGTTCCTTTCTCTCTTTCTCCATTTGGCTCTGCGGTTCTTGAACCAAACCTTAAAAAACGGGGAGAGAGGAAGATGCGTGACACGAGTTAGTATATTTATAAATCCGTGTACACACACATATACATAAACACATATATAGGATCGCCTCCTTCCTGACGGAGCCCTGCGCTGGGCAGGGGCCGGGATGTGCTGCCGGGGCTGCCGAGTATCCCCCGGGTCCCGGTGCCACCGGGGTTTAGCAGGGCAGACCCGTGGCAGCTCCATTCCCCACCCCCGCACACCCCCGCCCCCTCCGCCATAATCTGCGATGCTCTAAATCGCGGCACAGAGACCAACGCTCCCGTCCTCTTATTTTATTTTCTTTCCCCTCATTTCTCTCCTTTTTTCCCCTCCCCTTCCTTGGTTTATCACATACTAGAGCCATCCAGGGGAAATTCGAAAGTGCAAAAACGAGGGCAAAACGCCTGGAAATCCGCGGAATTTTAAGGCAATGTTTCCTATTACGGGGAAGGAGAGGGAAGCCAACAACTAATAAATCCTTGCTTCACTTTGTTAAAGCTGCAAGTTCGTCCTGCGCGAAAGCTTCCAAAGCCTAAAATCAGTTTCTAAACAAACTCGTTCGACTGCTTTTTCTTGGAAAAAAAAAGGAAAAAAAGGGGGGGGGGGGGGGAAAAAAAAATTAAAAATCGCCATTTGACAACGTGCTAAATAAGAACTAAAGGACCCTCCCCGC